CAACTAAGGTATATGAAAATACTTACTGACCCATTTTATCTGTTATCAAGTTGTGGGCATAATGTTGTTCATCATATTTCTTTATTATCCTGTTTAGTGACTACAGGAAGGAGTATTAATGGTACTTCTTTCATTTAAGATATTAGTAATTTGTATCTTCATTTAAAAGTTCTTAATTTTTCTGGCTAGAGGGTCATCAATTTCATTGATCTCTTGGGAAAATAAAATATTTTGTTTCATTTATTTTTTCTCTGATTTTGTTTTGTTTTGTTTTGTTTGTTGTCTATTTTTAAATTTCTGTTTTCTATTATTGTGTTTCTTTGTGTTACTTGAATATTTATAAAATACAATCTGGACTTTTCTGTAGTGTGTTTGAGTACTTCTTCGTACAACATTTTAGTGTTTGCTTCAGGTTTGCATTCTATATGCACAATTTTGGAGCTGGCATGGTGGGTTTGGACTGGCTGAGGGAGACTAGTAAGGAAGTGAACCAGTCCAGCAGGTTTGGAGCAACTCAGGGAAACCAGGAGGGAGGAAAGCCACTGCAGGGTGTAGAGCAGCTGAGGGAGACCAGGAGGGAGGTGAGCAGGTACAGCAGGTTTGGAGCACCTGAGGGAGACTGGGATAAAAGTGGAGCTATTTGGAACAACTGAGGGAGACAAACTTATCTGTCAGTTTTTCATACTGTGGAAGCTTGCATGTTGCTGTAAGACTGGAAGCTATGCCATCAGTGCTTCAAATGCTAGCTGGGTTACCCATGGTGGACAGGTTTCAGCAGAGCTTCCAGAATAAGACAGATTCTTCTTCTTCAAAGAATTGGCCAGTGAAAACCTTATGAATAAAAGTGAAACACTGCTTGATGTATTATTGGAAAACTTTTTGAATAGTCCTCAAACATTATCTAATACAGTGCTGGAAGATGACCCCTTCAGGTCAGAAGGCACTCAAAATACGACTGTGGAAGACTGCCTCCTAAAAGTAGAGCTGACCTTAATGAGTGGATAGACTAAAGCTTTCAGGACCTCCATTTGCTGATATAGCATAACTCAAGATGGAAGAAATAGCTGCAAACATCCATTAATAATCAGAACATGGAATGTGCAAAGTATGAACCTACAAAAATTGGAGTTGTCAAAATGAAATAGAATCCATAAGATTGAAATCCTAGGCATTAATGAGCTGAAATGGACTGGTTTTGCCCATCAGACAATCATATGATCTACTATGCTGGGAATCACAAATTGAAGAGGAATGGTGTGACAGTCATCATCACAAAGATTATATCAAGGTCTATCCTGAAGTACAGTGATGCTAGTGATAGGATAATATTCACAAACCTCCAAGGAAGACCAGTTAATACTACTATTATTCAAATTTACACACTGA